CGCATGTATTGATGTGTCCATACCAAGGTTAGACTTTATAGTTTCAAATAAACTGAACATTGAGTGGAGAGTTAAGAACATATATACTTTTGTTTCATATTTGTATATGAGGTGAAAAATAAAACATAAAAAATTAAGATAAATGGGAGTACATAAGTGTCGTAGCATGAAACAAATGATTGTGAATATGGTTTGCGAGAATACGAGTTGACAAATGAATAATACTTCCAGTGGTAATTTTTGTGGTGCATGTGTTGGGATACTTTCTTGTTTCTGAAACCAAGGCAGGTTATTAAGATGGTCACTCACCGAGCCATTGAATTGGAGTTCCAGTCCACATGACAGCGGAGCAACGTTGAGAAACGCAGTCTCATGGTAGACGGTGACCTACACTTTGTTCGCACGCCAATTTCTTCCTCAGGACTCTGAAGGCCACATAAACTAATGATCTAGAATCAGTCATTTCAACCGCGCAAGGTGGACTCTACGTGTCTATCAATCCGGGTACACAACCGGACATTCATCTTTCATCCTCTCAATTTCGTATACAACACATTCATCACAGTGTTGCAGTGAGTAATAAATCTCTGACAGTGGCTGCATACCAGTGGCCATGAGAGAGCATTTCGAAAGAGAGAGATGGTTCTACTCACGTTCATCAGTACCATTCCATTTAAGATATTTGGATGATATCTTGTGCAAACAATCTGTCAAGCAGATAAAGTTCTTATGTGATAGCAATAAACTTTTTAAGTAGATGGTTTGAGACTGTAATGTTAAATCTTTGTTAATTTTGTGTTGGTCTGTATGCACGTTGCACACCGAGGATTGTCTGTGAATAGAAGTATGTGTTAACGATGCGAAATACATTCAGAGTTTGATGGTGCGTTTGATCCTAACAGTTTTTCAGTCAAAGGTTACCGACGCTGTCAAATAAAATAAGTTAGGTGTGAGGTAATTCAAATATGTTTCTAGAAGAGAGAGGAACATGTGTAAGGTGAAGCGAAGATTCAGCAAACACGCATTTGAGAATGTACGATTCGAAGTACTTCTTTGATTTTCACTGAAATCAATACGCGTTTACATGGAACTATATTCTGGTGAGATAAATGATTAAATGATTTTATCGCTTGAAAATTGTGTTGGTTAGACCTCTTCTTTAACAAGCTTGCTCAAACTGGTGAGATTTTACTGACACATTTTAACGTTGCAATCAATAACATTTATATTTTCGTCGTGTAGCTATGCACAAGACTAATATGGATTTCAGAATAAATCACTGCACTAGTACATGTATGATGGATTACGGTGAGACACTAACTAGATCACATCATATGAGTAAGCAGATTGAACGACCTTTAGCTAATCATCTGAGAATGAGATCACACGTACTCACTTGATGTGATTGATGGTGAGCTTGAACTAATGATCAGATATATGTTCACTCAAAATATCACAATGTTGAATGGTGAAAGTACGAGTTGTGAATGCACGGATCGGCAAAGTAGGCCGAGCACATCTACAATTGAAGAACATCTTGAACTCACAACGACTGTCAAGTCAAGTATCATTGCTAAGGTTTAACTTCAAATGGAAACGAACAGCATAAGAATGAACAGCATTGGATAGAACTAGAATGGGAGGCTTTGGACAGAGTGTGCTGGAGAATGCTTATTGATGGTTCGTGCTTAATTTAGGGTTGCAGAATTATTAAGTTAAGTGGGCATTATAAGAAAGTCATCACATGACTAATGACAACAACTACACTCATCATCACTGACATATAAGTTAGTCAGTAATAGATATGAGAAATCTTCTCTCACTGTCGGTAGTTAGGTACTCACGTATTATGCTCATTTATATGAGTGAAGTCATTTTAATTGAATTTTGCGATGTTTTATTTGTTTGAGTATTCACTACGAAGATTTCGAAAGCTTATTCTGATCCATTCAACTGAAATAGTCTAAATGAATCATTACATTTAAAGCAGAATTATCATCTAACAAATCGAGGGGTGAGTATACATCATGTTGAAGAGACAATTTGTGTCATCTGCAATAAAATGTTTAATATTTTCAGATCACCTTAAGACTTATCTGATTTGTTTGACAGTTCATACATACTGCATCCACTCTAATGAACTGCTTAGTTTGAGAAACAACAATGATGACTTGAACAGATATGACTGTTTCCTTAATTCAACACGCTGATGAAGTATATTCAGATCATTAACGTCTAGTTAACACCATATTGATTCGTCTTCTGTAAACTAAATTGGGAACTTATAGAATACATCTGATCAAATGGATAGCGATGTCATACCGAGATTTTGTGTCATCAACCTCACCACACCTTCACGATTTCGATGTACCAAATGATTATATTTCCCATTATTACATTTTACTTCACTTATATTAACCACATTGATTTTCCTTGGTGGATTGTCAGATATTTTATTTTATTATTGTTATTTATGCCGACTAGCGATTTCATTATATATAGGTAAGTGACAAGATTACAACGGATCACAGTGATTCCTAATGACTACATCATCACAATTCATCTTTCGGTGGAGTGTTACGTACAATTTATACCTGTGTTAATTTAATGTCGGTTAGTAATACACTCTAAAGTGGCGAGTCACATTAGTTTACGAAACGCCAGAAATACAATTCTTCTACTCAATGGAAAATAACAAAGAGTAATCTTGTCATCAACTCTCCACACAATGCTCAACTTATTTTAAACTATCAAGTACAATATTGATATTGATACATGTTAACCACTCAAGTTCCATGTTTCCGTTTTGTTGCTTTCTCCTTACATAATTAAAAGATGTGAACTATTGAAAATCTTTATGATAATTTGAAACAGGGCTGTGACTGTAGTGTAATGTGTGAACTTGTAATTCGCACTCCTATATAATACATACTCTAGTGATCATGAATTCACCACCACTCACTGAAATAAATGATTGTACTGTGTACATAGACTGATGTGTTCTATTCAAATTAGAATCATGAACGCATTCATGTGAACACCACTCATCGTTCTGTACCAAAATCACAAACTGTCACTGGATCAATAAAACGATTTGACTTGTCTTTGTATTTCTCACTGCTCTTTCTGATGATGATGATGATGATGATGGAAGACAATCGGCTTGAACACTGGATTCAGTTTCAAATCACTTCATTCCCTAACATTTTATTCACTTGGTGATTTTCATCAGTTAAACTGTGGATTTCGCTCGAAGTGATTGCTTCTAAGATACACTGGTGGGTGGAGAATTAATTTGTCCGACATTCCGATGTCTTTCAGCAAATTCGTAAACGAAACTATAAATACATATTGGAGAAGCTCATGATAAATTGCACGAGTATTTCAACAAACCAGTGACACCAATCTGTACAAACAAAACCACAGAGTTCATCCTCATTCATAAATCGTATCATTGATAATCTCTACTTTGCGAACTGATTGAAGATAACCATGCGAACATCCGGATATCGGATCAGAATTGTAGAGGTTGAATGCTATCCACAAAATCCGACAGTCGATCGTCTAACCATTGGTGACGTTTTCGATGCACACCTCTGAGGAGTCACATAATTCGACGCAACAGCAGTCAAACGCATCCCAGTTTCAAATGAATGTTAAACTCAAAACAGTCTGTAATGTGGAGTCCGAGAAAATAACGATTGTTGTCCTTAATATTCTTTAACCAGATCTCAAGATAATCTTATCCTTCATCTGAAAACTGTTCATCCATCTACTTGTGTGTATGTGTACGTGCATTTATTAGTTGCATTAAGATTACTATTGGTGTTATTTCTCAATTCTCTCATGCATTAATATGTCACACGTCCACTTCATTTAATCCGCTGAACTTTGTTTTCAACTCTGAACAGTCATTATCAAGCTGATCGTATTCAGGATGAGGTGATTGGCTGAAACTCACAATCTCATTGTGAAATAAGAGTATAAAAGCGAACGTGTATGTGATCGGATGAAGTGGCAAAATAATCTATTCCACAGGTGAGTAATTCGAAGATTCAATACTCAATTGACGTTTTATTGCACTTTTGAGATTTACCTCTAAACAATGGATTCACACTGATGTCAGTAATAGAAACAGTTGAACATAAGAATATGAAATCAGTATTCGATGAATCATTATGACATGAACAATCTCTACATGCATCTAGCAAATATTCTGTGAGTAGTAAATCTACTTTCAATGTTCGTGATGATGCTTTTTCAAGGAAATTGTCAGAGATTCACCCTATGCATCACACAAACTCCAGTCAGTATTCATCGCGTTAATGAGAAACCATATATTTCCGATCAACAGAGAGAGGACAGTGAAATAGTTAAATAACACAAATGATGTGACCGTTGATTCTGTTCACTCATGTACAAGGAACTCACAATAAACATTAAATGTTTTTCTTGAAGTGATTTATAGCAACTATGTGAGAATCAGTTGATTCTGTACCCGATCGCGTCTATGTATAACTCTTATCAATCCGCCATAGCGCACGAACATCTCACACTAAACTCATAATACATTGTCAACAGAACTTTAATTAAAATTATACTTTGCCTTGCAGATAAATAGTTCAACTGAATTCCAGACTGTTTCACCTCAGAATGTCAGTTGGAAATAACTCGGTTGCTGTTTTAATACTTACAACTATATTGCTCAATACTTGCAACGCTACGGATGAATACTCACCACAAACGGATGCGACTCAATCATTCCCTATTAGCGATAGCATCATGACATCTGATTTCAATCGCAATTCAAAACCAATAACCCTCATGCAGCAAAGTGATTCGGGCAATTTAACCCTGTTCAACTTCTCGGCACATGGAACATCTCTGTTTGAAGTATCAGATACATTTCGAGTTGAAGGACGGTCTATAGCTGCACTCGTACCACATACTGCTTATGTGAGTTTTATTTATAGATATAATTTGACTAACACCATGTTTAGAATAACCAGTCGGCAGTATTCTTCTATCTACTCAATCCACAACCAGATGGATCAGGATTCGCTGGTTTCCACCACAAATTTAATAACTGGAACTTGTCAAACTATACTGGTGTTATCATTGAAATACATACACATGGTAGAAATCCCAACATGAAATTGATCTTCTATGGAAACTGTTCGGAAATCCACACTTGTCATTCGTATGAGTCGTTTTTCGAGGTAATGTGGTGTTCAAATGTGTAGAATAATTCAATGTGTTTTCTATGAAATGCTTATAGACATCTGGAGAACGAGAACAAATAAAACTGCCATTTAGTACATTCAAACCATACTTTCGTGGAGAACCGAAACCCGATTCACCGCCTCTAGATTTAACTCAACTCTCCCGCATCGGTATACAGGTATATGGCAGCATCGTTGAACCGGATAAGCAACGTGATAAAGAGTTTATCGAAATATTCTCTATAATAGCATATAAGGAAGATCAAATGACAGTTTGAACAAACCAAGCTTAAAAGAATCAGAGACAACTTGATATGTAGTGCTTATTGAAACTGTGATTATTTTAGTTTGTATTAAGTAGTTTTACCAATAAATACCACACAATTACCTGCGAGTTTTGAATGTTTCCATGGGTTTCTTAGCGTTCACATGAACATCATAGGGGATGAACAGTGATACATCGAATAATGTTTCAAACCAATTGAAGAATTTTTAAAAACACGGAGATCAGCGAAGAGATCTCTTTTCACCGAACTTATTATCAAGCTGTACAGTCGTGCCTATTTATCTATATGTATATATGAAGTTCATTATTCTTAAAGTTGTGGTTTCATGAGGACATCCTAAAAAGGAATAATCATGATGATGTACTCGAAATACTATATAACTAGATTGTTTATTGTGAATCATAACAACAGACATAATACATTGTATGTGAAAATTATATTTGAAATATTCGCAGCGATTGAGATGTAACTACTTCCATTGTTTCGTCCAGCTAACTTGTCTGGACATCTTCAGGGTAATAATTAGTGAAAGTCAAGGACAAATTAGCAAAGGAAGAACAACAGAACATTGTGTATGAGATTCACTGTCATGACTGTAATGCTACCTTTGTAGCATACTGTGTACTAAGAGTGATGTGTTGTATTCAAATTAGAATCATGAATGCATTCATGTGAACACCACTCATCGTTCTGTAACAAAATCACAAACTGTCACTGGATCATAAATAAAATAATTATATTTGTAATATCCCAATGAGTAGTAAGATAATTGGAATGTTGCCAACAGTTTGCGAATAAAGGATATAATTACAGAATTATGTGAACTAGAATTAATGACGAGAAGTAACAGGAATTGTACCGTTCAACAGAAATGACTACAATTAAAATATCAGTAACATCTCGAATGATCATCCTTGATTCGCATATGACAATTTGAATTGAAGCTCTCTGCACGAAAATTCTGACCACGTTATTTGGAATAATAATTTGGACAAAAGGTTGTAGAACGTGAAGTGAATTCTCCGAGAAGAATATTCATCACTCAAATGAATGTGTTATAAAAGGTTTTGTTACAATAACTGAAGGTAATTTAAAGTGATGGGGTGTGTGAAATAAATGAAGCGATATCATGATCAACTATGAATAAAATAATGGAAATATGAGACATACGTAATTGGGGAAATACAGCATTGATAATTATAACAGATTAAGTTCAGGGTATTAACAACTTAAGGACTCATGTGTTTTGTAGGCATGTTTCTAGCTTGAGCTGATGGATGGTGAGATCTTCGGCTACTTTCTGGGGTTGGATGCGAAGAAATGTAAGTAGATTTAGACGAATCGTATAAACAACCCTAAAATGAAACTGAGGATCAGCGGAATGATTCAAATCTATTAGATGTTCAAGTTTGTGAATGGGATAGTCTTTCCTCTAATAGTTGTACACTGTCAAATGTTCCTGTGTTTCGGTTAAAAGCGAGCGTTAGCTATAGTCAATTTTCTCGGCCACACAACAACATATGATATGACATTGCTGCTGTTGGTCTCATTAATACGATGTGTTAACTTGAATCTCCACCTCAACTTTCTCAATCGACTTTTATTTGTGTAAACCCATTATTCTAATGGTCCTCTGATTATTGCTCACATGTATCATCGTAATGTTCTACTGATTACTTCTCATAACATACTAGGTGAATCGATAGTAAAAACTGGTCGTCTATGCTAACTAATTAACTTTGATGGTTCGTTAACAAGCTTTAGTAGCATTTACTGCTTCAGCGATATAGTCTTGCTTAAACATCGAGCTCAAGCAAATGTGACCTGTGAATAACATAAATATACATTGACTAACAATGCAATCATGGACTAAATAGTTATCTGAATCTAATTCTCATTGTTCCTTCACTTAACACCTCATCCTGTTTTAAACTACGCACTATCCTGTAATATCTTTTCTTTCGACCACTGCCTGCCCAATTTCATATTTCGAGTTCCATTGCCAAACAACAAGGATGACAGAAGTATACGGTCATTTTAGATGGCTCTTTCAATGGCAAACACACAATTATCTGGATTCATTCGATTATTCTGATCCAAGCGAGTGGCAAAAACGACAACAGCATCAAGCACCCTGGAATTAATTGCCATACTGCATGTTTTATTCTGGATAATTTTGGATCATTACTACTACTCACGAATGGCGTTATATATGTCGTCCACTGAATAATCTAACTTTCAAAAATAACCCAGGCCAGTTCAACTATTTTACTGGATGATCTTTTTGTACTTAACATGTATGTATTTTCCAGTTGCTTTTGCCACATATTTGTAAGTGTCCCTAGGCTAAATGCACTAACTTCTTATGGAATGTTTATAACGTGTCATATTCCTGCCTGAAGTTTCATAAGCAGTCTTAACTTAGAAATTGTTTTCTGGTGATGTTCATTATTTTTAAATTGTCATATACGTCAACAACCTGCATGTTAACCTGGCCCGTACATACGTTGCACTATATCCTCATGTCTTCTAAATTTAAAAATCATCTGAATCGCCTTTCACATTTATCAATAAACCCATCATAGTCGTTGTTGCTAATCGTATTTGGGTTTATGGATTGATTTATCATATTAGCAGCCTAAAATGCGAACATAGTTTAGATAATAAGATTACAAATTTAGGGACTATCAACTGCACTAGTAAAATAACTAAATTCTCAGGCAGATTTTGACTAAACAAATGTTTAACATCAAAACCCTGAAGCCTACTAAAATTAACGCTAGACGAATATCTTCGAATTGAAATTTATTATATAATAAGGTAGCTGTGATTCTTTGACGCTACAAATTTCTGATAATTTTGAATCACCTAGAGCAACAATACCTATTTTCCCACTGACTCATCCTCATTCAACACTATAACTAGTTAAACGTAATAGTTTCAGGATATCGTCATAAAGCATTGTCATGACTTGACAATCACGTAATATGATTGATAAAATAAATGAAACTATTAAGAAAATCGGTCAGCAAATTGACTAACAATTATCACTAGTGTTGTTTTTCTTTTATCTTCACTCACTACAGATGATTACAGTATGTTTCTCTATCAGTTGCTCATTCAGTAAATATCTCAAAACCTTGTCAGTGTAATTGATGGTTTAGCGACACAATCATGCATGCAAATAATCAGTATAAGCAGTCGAGCAAATCTCCTGCAAACTGAAAACATCAATGTCGAATTTACCCCAACACTGACTAAGGTTCAAGCCATTATCATAGACGTGAGTTGGGAGTGTACTCCCCTTGGTTGCAGCGTATGTACTCCTTGATAATCACATGAGCATCACTCGCGGTTAATCATCTTGTAAAAACTTATTTAGCCGAATACATTTTGCAGCACATCACCTAGTAATGTCACACATAGGCTTAACTGATTTCAATAACTTGTAATCGCTATATCTCAATTAAATCGTATTCAGCCTTATGATAAACTGCATACTTGCAACTAACTTGTATGCACCATCAACCAGTAAGTATAAATAAAAATAAATATTCTATGGCAGATCAGAACCTTGAGTCTAAGCCATGTCTCATACGAATGCAGTCATGTTTAGCGAATCGCTCTTAGTTATCTGTCCAAAATGCATATAGTTATCACTCACGTATGTAAATTTTGTTTTGATAACCATACATGTATATTGGTAGTATACTAAATTCTATTACGGCCAAATAAAAATAAGGTTGAGGAAATCTCCCCGTAACTAAATAAACCGTATCAAACTAACTGGAACACTAGTTGGAATTCTTCTCCACGGTAATACTTTTGTTCTTCCAGTTAGCCTACTAATACAGATGCAAATGGAATTCAACTCATATGGACACGTTACCGGCATAATCGTTATATGATTTCATAATTTAAACCAAAACTAATACCAATATTGACATTTCTACAATTTTCATTACTTTAATATTTCTATACACAAAATACTAACTACTTATACGTTAAGTTATTAACCAACGGCTATTAACACGCATCATTTTATTATTATTATTGTAATCCCATTTTTATAGCTGAAATTATCTTCACCCAAATTATCATTTTAAGCGTGTTAAGTATGAAGGCAGATATTTTAAAATTATTACATGTGTTTCCCGACCAGATGCCGCCGTCTTCCTTTTTGATTTATCTTTCAGCTTATCACTACCCGAGGGATGCTTACTAGTCGTGGAAACGTTCGACGCACGACAATCCCATCCAATTCGGTATCGAACCAACACCACGTTGATTCTGGTGGGAGAGTAATGTAGTGGCATTGGACCATAACCACACAATCCACAAAGCTGAACGCGAGACTACTGAGAAAATAGATATTCAATATTTAACGCGGAGAAATACGTAACGATGGAGAAGGCGGGAATAATGTATCGAATGAATTAGAGTTGATCGAATGGCATGGCTCAGCCATGCAGTCGTGGTCCCTGCTGAATGTTACCTTATATCTTCTATTCATATTAGATATATTGTTCTATCTCTAGCCTAACCTTGTTCTCCATCATTTATTGGTAGTTGTAAAGATACAGTGAGTTGGTGTAGTCAATGATGTGACTTCCACGTAGCTTAACAACAGGTTGGAATTATTTGAGTTTCAATCGCTGACATTAGAACCGTTCAAGCAATTTACAAAATCTATTGCCAATAAACAAGTGTTCAATCAATCAACAATAAAAAACGATCAACAGTTGTGAATTAAAGAGAATACTGCTGAATTTACTAACGTTCAACTTATTTTGTTTTCCATTCAGGAATTCGGAATGCTGTACAGTGTTGTGTTTAGAGAAGATGTATACAAATAGCTTTCGATGACTGAAATTGTGCTGCTTGAAACACCGAGCTCTTATATACAGCACTCATGCACTAAACGAACGCAAAAATGTTCGAAAATATTCTATCTCGTACATTTATTGCTTATCAGAAAACGCAATGATTCATTTCACATGTACCAGCATGAATCTGTGAAATTCAATATGTTTGTGATCT